CTGCAACGCAAAAATCGATTGCAACAGGCGCAGCGGATCGTGTTTTTTTTTTTTTTTTACCGCACTCAATTGTCACTGTGTGTTATCCGACATTTTCGCTTATCCGACGTTCTGCTGGCCCGTTTATGTCGGATAAGCGAGACTCTACTGTACTTCCTAAGAGCCTATGGCTTTATCTCGTGGCTTGAAAAATTAGCACATTTAATCAAGACATGGACTTTCAGATCAAAAGGAGGACTGCTGGATGACCTCTAGCAAAATGTATGTAAACAGTGCTCACTGTTGCTAGCAATGCCTCTGTGGGGTTTAAAATGTGTTTTCATGAAAAAAAAAAATTACTCATGTTCTGAATCATTTCCAAGAAATATGTCATGGCCCTAAATATTTAGAGAACCCCCTTTGTTATGTTCTGTTCCACACAGAATATCCAAGCTAATGAAAAACTACTGTATATATAATCTTAACATCATGCATGAATGTGAAACTCTGTCCAAGAATGAAATTAGGCAATGTGGTTTCTGGCATTCCGCCTAGAAACCGCAACACAAAAGCACAGACTCACACCGACTGCAATTATACACTTTTCACTACTGCTTAAAGAGAATGCTTCCAATGCCTACAAAGCATCGTTACACAAACCTACAAAGTTAACAACAGGTAATATCCTGCACGCCAACCACAATAACATGGCAAGCGAACATAACCACGTCGTCTTCATTTCAGTTTGCATTGCAAGGAAAGTATTACTGAAGAACGTGCCAAAGTTCTTGTTTTAAAATCAGCCTTTTTACCTGTCATTTAGACAATCACAGGCAAACAAACAAGAGGTTGGATAAAAACTAGAAAAAACTGAATAAGGGAAAGGTCGGAGAATGGGGGAAAGGGAAGAGAAAGCAAAATAAATGTATCTACTTTACGTCTAGCAGGTAAGTGTAAGGACAGAATTATTGGTGTGTTTGTGGTATATGTACTATGGAGTCCTTGGTGCTCTCTGAGCTTGGTTGTTTTCTTGCAGATGTTTCATTATCCAACTAGGCAACTTCATCAGTGCTAGCAAGTGTAGGGTCTGCTCCCTGTTTATATACAGTAGCTTGCTCTGCCACTGTTGGTGGGTGTGTGATTTTCTCCTTGGTAGTTCCTTGATTAGGGCATTGTTTTCTGCTTGATTGTTTGTCTGATGTTCTTCCCTGCTTATCTGGGTGTAGGCTGCTGGAGAGGATGTGT